TCCCTGCTCGGCGGGAAGCCTGCTTCTCCCTCTCCCACTCCCCCTGCTTGTGTTCCCTCTCTCACTGTGTCTCTCTCTGTCCAATAAATAAATAAAATATTAAAAAAAAAATTATGATGCACTGCATAACCGGTCAGAGAACAATGACACAGACCACAGCTTAGAAATAAATCTTTTAGGACAAAACCTTGACTATGAATATACTTTGTGTGAGCGTACCTTTTTCTCCTTTGTCAATAAGAGCTATGCAAAGATGATACCGAAGGTAGGAGGAGCAAAAAGGACCTCTTCGTTAGATGATGAAGGAGCCAAAGAACAGAGTAGATGGAGCTGAGGTCATCTTTCTGGCTTTTGTGAACACTTTATAAGCATTTATTTTAATACTATTTATTCCACACCACACATACCATCTTATACTGCTTACTCTTTTTATGTCTGATATCCTCAAATATATTTAAATTCCTCAAAGGGATTAGTATCCTAGGGGTCCTCAGATAAGTTTCAGTGTCTGAGAGACCCTTACAAAGACCTAGAAGCACCTTCTAAGAACAGGGTCCATAACTTTTATACAATTCAGTTCAAGACCCACCACCTTATATGACTATTTAATTTGAAAGCTTCTAGGATATTCCCATTACCCCTGGTCCATCTCTTAGGAAGAAAAAACAAACTTTTGTTACCGATTTCCTCTCCTGCTTCAGTTCCTGGACATAGCGGGCTAACTCCACAGTGATGTTCGAGGTCATGTTCTCGGAGATAACTTCATGCTGCCCAGCGTAATCATTCATTTCGTTCAGGGTGGAAAGGAAAGCTTTACAAGCCGTATACCTACGGAAATGAACACACACCGCTCTTTTTCAAACAAGGTCCCCTCTGTTAAAACACTGTATGCGCTGACGAAACATTAATTAAAATCAGGTTAATGTGCATCAACGTCCCATAGGACCCTGACAGTTCATTACTCATAAAAGTGTTCTCATCGAAATGGCTCAGAATTAATTACAACTGAAACACTTTGCATTTTGTGACACCGAATCACTCTACATAAGGCAGTATTTGGCTTTGTTAATACCTGGTCCAAATATGACCCCAAATACCGATACATACTAAATATGCACTAATGCAATGGATGTTTAGATCCAAATTAGAAATATAATACTTTTGGGCTGTCCATGTTAAGGTGCCTAAGTTGCTGACTGAAATGGACATATTTCTCAGTGAAAGAGACTCCTGGTAGTACAAAAGCAAATCAAGACTGTGGAATGCATAATCCACACTTCCTGTATTTGCTTAGATTATATTCTAAGCTTTTCCCAATTACCTTAATTGAAACAATCTGGAACAGGTCTAGTGACTCGGCATAAGTTAGCTGAGTAGGGTTTTTATTGTTCTCGCTGCCAATTTAAAAACTAGCACAAATATGAATGGGGAATGCAGCTTATTTTTGTAGATTTCCTTTCTCCTTTCCTTCAGACATCATCACGACTGGCATAAAGATATCAGCACATAATCATCAGCATTAAACAGACCTGTATTCTTCTTCCTCCTTCGAGTTCTTTTTAGGTTGGTATTTCTTTGCGAGGTTCCTAAAACAAAAATGCAGAAATGTCACCTTCTATAGAAAGATGATTGAGAAATCAGGAATGAAAGATGAAGTCAGTGCTTTTTGTGTACAAGTAAAAAAAAAAAAAAAAAAAATCACAAAATGTCCGCAGCTGAAATCCATTTATTTCCTTCCTTTTTTTTTTTTTTTTTTTTAAAGTCACCTCTACACCCAACGTGGGGCTGGAACTCACGATCCCGGATCAAGAGTCGCATGCTCTTCCAACTGAGCCAGCCAGGTGCCCCTTGCTTCCTTCCATCTTTCTACATGGGTGATAAAGCTCTGGTTATGAAGGACTTGCATCTCTTTGAATCTCTGACCTCAAAGGTAGAGCACGTAAGAAGAGAAAGGGGCTCCAGCTGGTGCTAACCTGGCTGTTACGACCTGACTTTAATTGGAGAGTACAGACCATGTGTACACATGCAGCCGATTTCATCTGCAGCACCGAGCTGAGGGCGAGTTTCCCTCCAGGCCACCTTTCCCTCCTGATCATCTTCACAACGATCCAAGGAAAGTATGTGGACTATGTCCAAATGTTCAAGTTAAAAATCCAAACGCCGGGTGCCTGTGTGGCGAAGTCGGTTAAGCATCTGACTCTTGGTTTTGGCTCAGGTCATTATCTCGGGGTCGTGGAATCGAGCCCCTTCAGGCTCTGCACTTAGCGGGGAGTCTGCTTGGGATTCTCTCTCTCTCTCCCTCTCCCTCTGCTCCTCCTACTCATGTTCTCTAAAATAAATAAATAAATCTTAAAAAAAAAGTCCAAGTGCCAAGGGCATGTTGGCAAGGCTGTGTGGCTACTCCCCCAAAGAGGAATGAAAAGGAAAGGAATCTGGGGGCTGTTCATGCTAAGATATTTAATTAGGAGGACTTTTAACCTGCCCAGCAGGTTTGCCCTGAACACACTCAGATGAGACAAAATCACTCACATCTCTCTTCCTAATTTCACCTCTGGGTCAAGAATCCAGACAATCTCTACATTCAACACCCTTAAATTTACACAAAAACCATGGGGTAAGCCTGGAAAAACAAAACTCATGCACATGGGTCCCATCGGCTGATTTCTTGTGGGACCTGACTTTGGTCGCTGTAGTTTAGGGAAATAGCCAGAAGAGGCTGACTAATGGTCCACAGTGGGGGTCCTCACTTGACCACATCTCAGTATTCACTTCCCTGTTTATCCCGTGTTTCTATTCCTCTTTCCTAGTAGTTACTTTCATTATTTCACATTTTCTTGTATTCCCCCTGAATCTACAGATTCACCTAGAAAAAAATGTACCATCATAAGTTTACAATTTTGATCATGGTACATTTTACATACAAAGTGGATGTGATTTCATCTCTAACAGGTGTTACTAGATGATTTGAGGCAATGGACTTCAGTAAAAAGGACACTGCTCTGGGATGGCGTGACCCCAGACAAACCAACAAGCAAGTCTGTGCATCCAGCTCCTCATCTGTGAGTTCAAGGGGGTTGGATGAAATGACCTCTATTGCCCCTTCAAGTTTTCTGAGGGAATATGTAACACCCAAGAATATCAACTGTTGCAATTTAAAGTGAAGATATGGGGACGCCTGGGTGGCTCAGTTCGTTAAGTATCTGCCTTGGGCTCAGGTCAGGATCCCAGGGTCCTGGGATTGAGTTCCACATCAGGCTCCTTGCTCAGCAGGGAACCTGCTTCTCTCTCTCTCTGTCGCTCTCCCTGCTTCTGCTCTCTCCCTGACAAGTAATTAATAAAATCTTTTAAAAAATAAAATAAATGAAATAAAATGAAGATATGAAGGGCACCTGGATGGCAGACTCAGTAGAGCATGGGACTCTTGATCTCGGGGTCATGAGTTCAAGCCCCACACTGGCATAGAGCTTACTTATAATAATAATAATAATAATAATAATAATAATAATAAAACATGTCATATTTTCTCTGCTGATACTCTGGATGCATAGTACAGTTTACCTAATAAGTCTAGATCCAAAAGAATGCTGAAAAATAGCATTTCTTTTAAAAATGTGGCTTAGGGGCACCTGGCTGGCTCTGTTGGTAAAGAACGTGCAACTCTCAATCTCAGGATTGTGAGCTCAAGCCCCAACGGGTATAGAGATTACTTAAAAATAAAATCTTTTAAATAAATAAATAAAGTGGCTTAAAGAAAAAAATAATGCAAAGGAGAGAAATCTTGTTTGTTGAAAGCACAGTACAGTTCTTTGAGTTGGTTTACCACAGTCACTCCTTAAAAGGTAGATTTAGTAAAAACAGTCCATCCTACTCACAGCTGGCAGGGATGGAAAGGGGAGCACATGGAAAGCAGACGACCATATAACCAATAGGTTCTTTTCCACATATGCGTAGAGTAGCATATATGGGATTTTTTGGTAGAAAGGAAGAGGAGTGGGGGGAGGGGCAGAGGGAGAGAGAATCTCAAGCATGCCCAGAGAGGAGCCGGACGTGGGGCTTGATCTCACGACCCTGAGATCATGACCTGAGCTGAAATCGAGAGTCAGATGCTTAGCTGACTCAGCCACCCAGGCGCCCCAGCATGTGAGATATTTTTAATGCATGGTTTTAAATATTAACCATTTCTCCTATTAACTATAAATTACAAATTGAAAATATCACTTTGAAATTCACATCTTATATAAAAATTCTTTCGCAACTGTTATTGTAAAGGTTTATTTAAATCCACATTTTCTGGGGCACCTGGCTGGCTCAGTCAGAAGAGTGTGCGACTCTAGAACTCGATCTTGGGGTTGTGAGTTCAAACCCGAGGTGGGGTGTAGAGACTACTTAAATAAAACAAACAAGAAAAAACCCCACTTCATATTTAAAAAAATAAATTAAAAAAATTAATAAATCTACATTTTCTTTTTAGCTTCCAGTCCTAAGCCTTCATAAAAATAATTTAAATTTTATATCCAGTTGAAGGAAACATAGCTTGAATATAGAAAGGTAAAACCAGCACTCTTTTTAGTTCCTTCTTACCAATCCAATCCTAAACAGGATTAAAGACCATGGGGGGGTGAGGGGGGGATATTCTGTTGTGGGTGACAGCCTGTGGAGACCGTCACGTTGTGATGAATGAGTCTCACTTTGACCATGTTAGCATATATAGCCTTCAAAATGTTTCTTAAAAGCACCAATGAATAATTCACTCTATAAAAGCCAGCAGAAAACTAAAAGCTTAAGAAGTCTGGAAGGGAAAATCAGGATTTTTCTCTCAGGGACCACGAGAAAGAAAGATCAACTTTCATTTCCATTCTCTGGAGATGGGCTTTCTTGCCCCTATTTTGTATGAGGTTACTTAAAAAACAAGCAAGAAAACAAACCACAAAGAGCAGCTTTAAATTTATGGGATCTTTCTGAGAAATTTTAAGTGTTTTATATATTAAACTTGCTCTTCAGACAGGCTAATTAAAAGCTAAGAGAAAAATATAATCCTCTCATAAGGATACTGGATTTTAACTTGGTTGATCCGAAGAGCCACAGGGAAGCTTTTAAAAAGGAGATACCTGGGCCCAGTTCCAGGCCCTCCGAAATGGAAGGTCCAGGGTTGGGTCCAGGAATGTTTTGTTTTTTCTATCTTTCTTTTTTTTTAAAAGCTCACCACAAGATTTCTGGATAAAGACAGCAGAATAAAATTCGATCAGAGAATTGTGATTTCCCAACAAGAGGTGAGAATTAAAAGCCAGGACAATTTTCAACAGCAGAAAACAAGCCAATGAAGAAAGAAGCGTAACTTCAGCCTACGCACTTTGAAAAGCGGCGACCACGGTGAGGGACGGAAGATTCTAGGACCGCATGGAAGGATGCTGCCCCCACCCTCACTGCCACTGTGGCAGGGGGTGGGGTAGGGTAGGAATAAGCCCACGAAAGCCTGAAGATCAATTTAGACAATAGTAAACTGAGGGGTGAGTAAGCAGTCAAGGAACAGTGACAGGAAAGCTCTGAGAAGAAGACACGCAGGCCGACCACCCAGGTTCCAGAATTCGGGCAGGAGCAGGGGTCACCACCTGGATCCTCACGTTCCAGGGCTCCAAGCTGGATGCCTGTGGAAGCTCATCCCTAACCTAGGCATTCCAAAGGAACAGGATATATCTCTCAAACAGAACCTCTAACAAAGTTCCGGAACACACTCAGAGTCTCAAAGACAAAATGTACAAAACCAGGCCCTTTGCCTCACCCTTACCCCATAATGGTGCTCAGAGGGAAAGGCCAACAGTTCTAGAAGCACAGCCAGGAATGCTCAACTACCCTCTATCAGAACCAACAGCAGCACTGATGTTGTTTATGCAGGTAAGAAAAGCATGCTTAGGAAGTGCATGTGCCTTATCTCATTAAGTCCCCTTAACAACCTTAGAAAGGAGGAATTACTATTATTCACATTTTACAGATGAAAAAGATGAAGCACAGAGAATATATGCCCCAAGTTGTGTTACTATTGAATGGAAGAATCAAGAATGCATGCCAGGTATTGGGGCTCTAGTGTCTGTTCTCTTAAGCACTTCACTGAACTGCCCATATTAAACATAAGCGAGGTAAAAAGATATGTAATACAGAAGAGAAGGAAGAAAGGTGGGAAGGAAGGGAGGAAGGAAGGAAGGGAAAGAAGGTAGGTTGGGAGGAGTGAAGGAAAGGAGGGAGGGAGGGAATGACCCCCCCCAAAAAAAAGAAAGAAAGAAACCAATCTGGAAGAAAAGAAGAAAAAGAAGCAAAAGCAAACTCCTCCAGAAAATTTTACGCTACAGACAAACTTAATAAAAACACAAAGCCAATGAAGCAAAGACTTCCCAGACCACAGGCTAAAATAGATGGCAAAGTTAAGGAAATGAACTAAGAACTAAAGCATACCACTACAGAACTAATAAATAAAGTGGGATGGATATCAAATTTAACAGAAGAAAACTTTGAGATAATCATAATAAGGAAAGCAACTAACAAAAGCAGAAAAAAAGATTACCTAAAGAACAAGATGCTTTAACATAAGGAA